TCCCCCTCCACTCCCCCCCTTTCCCCCAGCCCCCCCCAATCCCCTCTCTAACCCCCCTTTAACCCCCCCCAGGTTGTTCAGAGCCAGCAGGACCTGCAGCTGGAGCTGCAGCTCTCGGAGCAGCGCCCGGAGCAGCGCCCGGAGCCGCGGCCCCGCCGAGGGTCCCAACCGGCCGTGCCCGTCAGCGCCACGACCCCCCCCGAGCCCGGCCCGGGGGTCTCTGGGGTTGGGGGGGCCGAGCTGGCGCTGCTGCAGCGCCAACACGGGCTGGTGCAGGAGGAGCTGGGCCGGTGCCGGGCGCTGTGCCAGGAGCGGGCGCAGGAGGCGGCGGCGCTGGAGGGGCGGCTGCGGGACAGCGAGAGGGAGCGGGCGCGGCTGGAACGGGAGCTGCAGGAGGCGCGGGGGGGGACGGCCCCGAACCCTCTCCCTCCTCTGCCTTCGCCGGGGGGGCCCCGGGCCAGGAGGGCGGCAGAGCCCCGGCGCAGGAGCCTCCCCGCCGGCGACGCGCTGTACCTCAGCTTCACCCCCCCGCAGGTGGGCACCGGGGGGGGAGGGTGAGGGAGGGGGTCGTGTGTGACACGAGTGTGTCCGGGCTCAGCCCAGAGGGATTTGGGAGCCTGGAGAGCTCCTGCATGACATGAGTGTGTCTGGGCTCAGCCAGGCAGAATTGGGGCCGGGGGGGGTGAGGGAGGGGGTCGTGTGTGACATGAGTGTGTCCGGGCTCAGCCCAGAGGGATTTGGGATGTGGGGAGGTGAGGGAAGGGCTCATGTGTGTCATGAGTTGTGTCCGGTCTCAGCCCAGGTGGATTTGGGATGTGGGGAGGTGAGGGAAGGGCTCATGTGTGTCATGAGTGTGTCTGGGCTCAGCCCAGAGGGATTTGGGATGTGGGGAGGTGAGGGAGGGGGTCATGTGTGACATGAGTGTGTCCGGGCTCAGCCCAGAGGGATTAGGGAACCTGGGGAGCTCCTGTGTGACACGAGTGTGTCCGGGCTCAGTCCAGGTGGATTTGGGATGTGGGGAGGTGAAGGATGAGCTCATGTGTGACACGAGTGTGCCCGTGCTCAGCCCCCCACACCCGGGGGGGCCGCGGGGCCTCGTCCCGGACCCCCCCCCCCTCTCCCTCCCCCTCCCATCAGCCCCCCGTCACCGTCTCCTTCCACCCCCCCTCCTTCCCCGGCCCCCGGGACGAGCTGGAATTCCGGGGGGCTGATCCCGAGCGGCTGCGGGAGGGCGAGGACACCCTGGACACGCTCCTGGAGGACGAGGGGGGCTTGGGGACCCGCCACTCCCCCCCCGCCAGCCCCCGAGGTGGGTCCTTCCCTTGGGGGGGGGGGGGGCAAATCCCACCCCACATTCCCTTTTTTCGGGAATGAGGG